CCCATTGCCTTTACCCAAGCTCAAAGACAGAGTCTAGTTTCAATGCCAAGAGAAATACTCCAACTCTAGAATTATGTTACCACCCATTTTGGTATACAAATTCTCCCCGTATAATTAGTATCTTTACACACACACATACATTTTGTCTTACCATTAGTATGATAAACTTTATACACATGCGCATGCACACACACACATCTATGTAAACTCTGTGTGTGTGTGTGTGTGTGTGTGTGTGTATAAAAATAACAAGTACCTGAACTACAATATAGGTACTAGACTTCATCTGGAACAGAAAAATAAACTAGATGTATATAAATTCCACTCCTTACTTATAAAGTTACAGATTTTTCAGAGCCAAAATAGGCATTAAAATGAGAGTAGTGAACTAGTCTCTAAAATGATTCTCTTCTCGGGGCACCTGGGTGGCTCAGTCAGCTAAGCATGCGACTTTGGCTCAGGTCATGATCTTGAGGTCTGTGGGTTTGAGCCCCATGTCGGGATCGCTGCTGTCAGTGCAGAGCCTGCTTCATATCCCGTCTTCCTCTCTTTCTCTGTCCCTCCCCTGCTTACGCTATCGAAAACAAAAACAAAAACAAAAAACAAATAAACATTAAAAATATGTACATTAAAAAAATTCTCTTCTCTCTCTTCTCCAAATGACCATAGGAGCTAAAATAAAGTCTACTTTCTAGAACATTAGGAAAGCATCTTATGTGCTTCCCTATGCAGGAGAATTAAGAATTTCTTTCTCATCAGTATTGATTATTCTTTACTCTTAAGATGAATGTGAGAATATTAGAACACAGGGGCGCCTGGCTCAATCAGAAAGGCATGTAACGATCTCAGGATCATGAGTTCAAGCCCCACATTGGGTGTAGAGATTACAAAAATAAATAAATAAACTTTAAAAAAAGAATATTAGAGAACAAAAAAGTTCCAATCCTTTCTGCTACCTAGGATTAAATTAACAACAGCATCAAGAGGGAAAAACACATCTTACTTAAAAGTTCTCAATACTCAATTGCATTTAAATAAGAATTTCTTTAAGTAACAAACACCAAAAAATCCTTGTAAGGTCTGCCTAAACATATAGCTTCGCTATTATGAAACACCAATAGGGGAAAAAATGTTTTAACACATGAAAATTGCTGTCGCACTGGTAATTCTTGACTTGGGACCAACAATGTTATAACACTGATTTTTTAAACATTTTGGCCAAATAGATTGCATCATATCAAAAATTGAACATACCAAATCCCTTCCTTCCAAGTTTATTTAAGAAATGTTTTGATACACAGATGGTTCTGGATTTATAAGGCTTTCATTAAAATACTAAAGACCCAGGGGCGCCTGGGTGGCGCAGTCGGTTAAGAGTCTGACTCTTGATCTCAGCTCGGGTTATGATCTCACAGTTCGTGGGTGCAGGCCCCCCATCGGGCTCTGTGGAGCCTGCTTGGGATTCTCTCTCTCTCCCCGTCTCTCTCTGCCCCTCCCCTGCTCTCTCTCTCAAAATAAATAAACTTAAAAAATTTTTATAAAAAAAAAATACTAGAGACCTGAACAATACTTGAATGCAGCGCTTGTTACTCTAAGTGATTCTCACCAGAAAGTACTCCAGTATAACAATTCAAACTTTCCAAAACTTCATGTAATTTTTTCCAGAAGTTACATTTGTTTTTAAAGACAACAAAAGCATGAGTCTTAATAAACAGTATGCACACAAAGGGTAAGTCATAAACGATAAGCACTCATGGAGCAATAATTTTAGGAGGAAAAAACCTAGCACTTTCCTCTAAAGTTGAGATTGATAAACTACTTGAGGAAGGAAAAAAATATATATTTTCAGAAACACAGACTCTTGGAGCTAAAATACAGTCTGTTTTGATGGTTCTCAAAGTATCCAGGGCCACCAACTCCTTGCACTACTAACTGTTGATATTATATACCCACTTTCATTTCACCAGGAATAATTTTTATTTACTAGAACAGCAATGTGTGGAAGTTCCATCAGAAGGAGTGCCAATTAAGAATAAAGAAAGTACTCAGTGCTGCCAAATATATACAAAAAGGCACTTTATATACTGTTGACACAAGCATAAATTGGTACAAGCTTTACAGAAAGCAATTTGGAAATATGCCTCTTACATCATACTCCCAACCTAGTTATTTCACTTTCTACTTCTAGGAATATCCTAAGGAATTAATCAGAGGTGCACACACACAAAAACGTAGACAACACTCATCACTGTTATAAAAAGAACTGAAAAACAAAGAACTAATTGCAAATGCCCAAATGGATGGATATTGGTAAAATAACGATGCATCAATATAATTAAATACCACACACTCATCAAATGCAGCACTGCCAAAGCGTATTTAAGGATATATTCAAGATATATACAGTTTCATTGGCTTAAGAGGAAACTTGAACAATATCAACCTCTTCAAACGGTATGCAGAGTACAAGCTGAAATGTTAACCCCACCCCCCCCCCGAGGTTGTAGAATTATCAGTGATTTTTAGTTTTATCCTTATATTTTTCCTACCCTTTCTAAAACTTCTGCAGTGAACATATTAGTGTCATCATTTAATAAATAAGGAGAGAATAGAGCACTAGTCTTTCAATTAATTCTAGTGTGCATCTGTGTTTGTGTGTGTTGGGAAGTGACAATGAATAGGGCCCCTAAGGCATTTGGTGCTACTCAAGTGGGGAAGTGACACTGTAAAAGGATCCAAAAGTTGACTTCAACTGTGCTACCGAAAGATTAGACACTTGTTTCTAAACTACCTAGACTCAAAATAAAAGAAACTTCTTTTGCTCATGCAACATAATCAACAAAGCAGAATAAAGTTCCTTTTTTCTTGCTATAACTACAATGTTAAATGTTCCCTAAAGCTAACTGTCCTCGTGGTCCCCTATGCCAAAATGTGACTAACAACCATTGACGACTACTGGCAAGTGAATGCACGATATCAAAAAAGCAGACAATCCTAAAGGGTTCCACACAGAATGAAATACAAGTAACTTCTCAAAAGCCCAGGGTTCCACTCGCTTATCCTATTAAAATAAGCAGGAACTCAAATGCCAGAGGATATCTGCGTAAGATTTAATAGACACCCCATCATACTTGCCAACTCTTCTGCTCTCATAAAGGAAAAGGGTTTTTGTCTGACCAGCATCAGCCCTCTAGGGGAAATCAAGGCCTTCTCTCCGAAAAGGTATCACAAGCAAAAGGCACCAAGTGGGGATCACCTCGTTGCCTTCCACTCAGGGGCTAAGAAGGATTTTGAAGCAAGGGCACTTCAGAACTGAAGTCTCCATCAGTATCCAGTTGTTTACAGCCTCAACTCTGGGACCAACTTCTCTGAACTTCAGAGTGTATCATCTTACCTAAGACTGACTTGCTTTAGACATTCCAATCAACTGTGATATCACATTACAAACGTGTACTCACTTCAAAAAGAAGCAGGCAGAAAAGGCTGAATCATCTCTTTCCCTCAGTTTTCATTTCAAAATGTTTCGGGTAACAGTAAAGTATCATTAAGTAATCTCACTTCCTGTAAGGCCCAGACGGCTAGGAGTGTGTCCTGCAATAATCTCGAAAGGGCCTAGCAGCAGAGTCCACAATACTAAACACTATCATAAGAGTACAGCTGATACACATACGATTGCACTGCAACATATAATAATATATCTACTTGAAAATTAATGTTTTTACTGTAAAGTCAAGGGAAAACGATCTGTGGCTGCTGGTTAACTCAACTGGGTTGACCCAGTGCTCCTGAAGCTAAGCCCACAAATTTGATGCTTATGTGAACAGGTTCAAATGATGGTGGTCGCACTTGCCAGTCTGCCAGAGTCTGTCCCCTGGTTTACCTGTTGGCCCAGTGTAATTATTGTCAGAATCCTCACCCGTTTTTTGGCAAAAACATTCCTAGTGGTGACTCTAGTGATAACTCTAACTCTGGCCCCACAAAAGAACAAGGCAAGAATATATGCTACATCTGCAAAAGCCAACCTTCACTAGTGGAGAGAAATACAGACTCCTGATTAAATCCACTGTCACATACAAAAGGGCAGGTAAATGAAAGTACCAGCTTTGTGCCATTATGCATACATATGCATACACACATGCACAATTCTTTATCCCCAGTGTTTCAACAATGTAAAATTATGACAATCTCAGTTTACATACAATGCAATATTTATAATCCAACTTCTGAAATCTAGATTAAAACCTTAATTGATAGGGGCGCCTAGGTGGCTCAGTCAGTTGGTTTAGCATCCAACTTGGAGTCAGGTCATGATCTCATGGTTCGTGAGTTCGAGCCCCACGTTGGGCTCTGTGCTGACAGCTCGGAGCCTGGAGCCTGCTTCAGATTCTGTGTCTCCCTCTCTCTGCCCCCTTCCCCGCTCAGTCTCTCTCTCTCTCAAAAATAGACAACATTAAAAAAAAATTTTAAACCTTAATTGATAAATTCAAACCGAAGTATTCAATTCCTCATCTTACAAAACACATGCTTATATTTTAAGTACATAAAAGGATAAATCACAACCACTATAAGATCTCTCCATTTATAGGTTCTTAATTTATGACTTTTAAAGACTATAGTCCTATTTAAAAAGTTGTGTTTACCCTTTAACTAACTTTAAAAGTCAGAGGAAAGGATATTGCCAAATTAACTGTAGCAATCAAGCAAATATTCCAGCCTTGCAGGGATACATATTTTATTACTCATTCTTTTTTACAAAAAAAAAAAAAAAAAAAAACCAAGTAATTATAACTTCCCATCAATGATTCTCTGGAAAATACAGCGTAGCAACCTTAGAGCTGCATATCAAATGAAGTACTTGGTTCCCAATCAATGGTAAAAGACCAAAGCAAGCCGGAGAGTTTCTGGGCTAACCCAGATGCTGTAAGCTTAAAGAATTTTTCACATGTTTATAAGTTCTGGCTCTTGGAATAGTCTGTGCCTAGTATAACCTCATATTCAGCTTAGTAAGAAAAATTGTATTCCACCTGGCCAATCTGAAAAAAAGACCACAGATTAACAGGATAAGGTCCTATGCTTCATTGAAGGCTAAAGAAATAGACCATGAAGCTCCAATGTAACACAATGCCCTGCTGAGAGGCAGTCTACCATGGTAGTTAGGAGCCAAAATGCTGGAGCCAGATGGCCTGGGTCCAGCTCCTGGCTGTGCCCCTTTTTAGCGCTGGGTGACCTGGGGCAAGTTGTTTAACCTCTTTACCCCATTTGCCACAATTCTAAAATGGAGGAAGTACTATTACTACCTGTTGTGAGGACTTGTGTGAGGCTCAAATTAAGCTGATCTCACAAGCTCTGGCCATTATAAACTTTAGTTTTTCAAAAGAACCAAGCTTAATCTCTCACCTTGGAGTCTAACACGTGCTTTTCCTTCTGCCAAGGACATTCTCTTCTCCCTTTTCCTGGCTTCCTTTAGGTCTTAGTTTAAATAGCACTTTTAAAAAGCCTTCCTTACCTCCCCACGTTACGTCAGGTGTCTCTGCTATTTGCTCTGTGGGCACCCATACAGCACAGTACTTAAACTTGTTCAAGTTTCTGTTCCCTTGCTGGGCTGTAAGCTCCTTAAAGGTAGAGGTCATGCCTGTCTTGATCCCCACTATAATCCACAGGACCTAGCACAGTACAGGTACACTGTAAATGCTTACCAAATAGTTTCTGGATGAACACGGGATGAATTAACAAGTCCTGCTACACAGAAGGGAAACTAAAGAATAACTTCCAAGTTAAATCTTTCACTCTTAGGTAGATGTGTATGCCTCTTCAAACCTGACCTATATAAAAGCGCTTCCCCCCATACAACTGAGAAGCTTGAAATTAAACACAAGAAGTGCCATATTCTGACAGAATACACACTTAATGCCCATTTTGGATAGGAATCAGGACTTCATAAGCAGACCAAATAATAGTCTATTCGGTGTGTTTATTTATTACTTCTTGACTAGTGTTCCAAAGCCTTTATTTAAATAGGGATTATCACTGCAAAGTTATATAGCTAGTATATGAAACCCAGCTAGTATAATGAAACCCAGAAGTGCCATTGGCATAGGTTGGGAGAAGAAAAGGAAGGGGAGACCATGAACATGGAAATGCATAAAAGAAAGGGGAAAGAATGAAAGTATTTGATACGTTGGAGGGTGGTAGAGAAACATGAGCTGTTCCTCTAAAAGGCACCACTGGGTGGCACCTGTGTCCCTGGCCATCCAATACAGATCTGCAATTAGAAGACCAAGCTGTCGGGCTATCTTGCAGAGAGCTTAGGTTGAATGTTCAGCAGTCAATTTTGAAGGGGGAGTGTGTGAACACTCTTGCCTGACAAAATGTGTCTGCTCACCATTCTAAATGCAGGCATACTCAGTAGAGTTAGAGGACAGGGATTCTCAGATGAATGAGAATGAAGGAGGAGAGCGGGAAGGGATCAGAATAACCTAGAAAGCTTTTTCTTTTCTTTTTTTTTATTTTGGAGAGAAACAGCATGCATGAGCAGGGGAGAGGGGCAGAGGGGAGAGAATCTTAAACAGGCTTCATGCTCGGCACAGAGCCCAATGCAGGGCTTAATCCCATGAGCCTGGGATCATGACCTGAGCTGAAATCAAGAGTCGGATGCTCAACCAACTGAGCCACCCAGGTGCCACCTGCCCACCCATTTCTTTCTTTTTTTTTTTTTTAGAAAGCTTTTCCAACTATTAGGCTGACCCATATAAAACTGCCAATAGTCAAAACCTGTTGCGTTAAAAAAAACAGCAGTTTCAAATGATTCAACCTAATACACAGATATTTAGAATCACTCGCTTAATGAGCCATTGTTACTGAGACTAGTGTCCTATTTCTCAGGTTTATGGACAGGGCATTAAGAACACATGCATAGTTTGGCCTTAAGGCATGAAGAATTAAGCTCAGAAATGGAAACAACAAAATGTCTTAAGGGTAGGGAATAAATTAAACTATGTTAAAAGCATTAGATGAGGAAAAATGTAAACACAAAAAATGCTATATTAAGTGTAAAAAAGCAAATTACAACACAGTTTGTAACTTGTCTCTTAGGGAAATATGAATAGTTTTTTTTTTTTTGTAGGGGGGGAATGTTCTATAGGGAATATATTCTCTATAGAAAAAAATATGGAAGGATGTGTATTAAAAATATCAGTAGTTGTCTCCTTGTAGGGGGATTACCCATATTTTGTCTTTTTATCTAAACAGGTTTTTTACAATAAACATGTGTAACAATTTCAGATCCTGGTACAGAAAAAAAAAAAAGACTGGTAGAAAAACTAGAGAAATCCAAACAAATTGCATAGTTTAGTTATGAGTACTATACCAATGTTACATTAAATGTTAACATTAAGGGGGAGCCAGGTAAAGATATACAGAACCAGTGAACTATGTTTACAAATCTGCTGTAAATCTAAAATTGTTCCAAAATGAAGCACTGTTATTTTTTAAAAATAAGCCATCTAGTAACATCACATTTGAAAAATCTAGAAGAAAAAATGCATTTGGTTAAGAGATCCTGACATATAAACAAGAATATGTTGTAATAAAACTTCTTTGACAGTAAGTCCCTATGCCCTCTAGCACGACAACAGAAAGGTGTGAAGATTATTACACCACATGGCCTCTCCTGAATATGATAGTGATGTCACCCTATTGTGCACAGACTCACTGATGCAGGAAACAAATGGTTCAGTCTCTCTTTTCTTTGATTTTATAATCATCATTGCTGAAAACTAACCACCATAATAACATTTCTATTTGAGTAAAGTAATCAAAAATACATATAGCCGGTAACAACCAGTTTCCTTTGTAATATTTTTTTTAATTTTTTTTAACATTTATTTATTTTTGAGACAGAGAGAGACAGAGCATGAACGGGGGAGGGTCAGAGAGAGAGGGAGACACAGAATCTGAAACAGGCTCCAGGCTCTGAGCGGTCAGCACAGAGCCTGACGCGGGGCTCAAACTCACAGACCGTGAGATCATGACCTGAGCCCAAGTCGACCGCTTAACCGACTGAGCCACCCAGGCGCCCCTGTAATATTTTTCAAAACCTAGTTTCTTAAAACCTGGGTGGTCACAGGTGCATGCATATTCATCTGTTCAAAAACAGATCTGTTCAAACATCTGTTCAAAAAGTATTCCGTGAGCATATACTCATGGAGCTCACTATTCAATAGATAATATTGTAAGTGGACATTAGACTAACACTGAGAGCAGACATATAGGTAGAATCGGAAAGGAGGGTCGCCTATGAGGCAACCCTTGACCCTATAATAATGGCCCAACCAGACAATTACATACTTTTTTAAAAGCTAATAATAATAGCTACCCTCTGTCCAGTTATGTATGTATTACTGCTTAGGTATTCATTGGCTTGCCTAAAATGTACTTTTTAAAAACTTCTTTCAAATACTGGGGCAAGGAAAAGTCTGCAAAGCCAAAACATGAAAGCAAGGTTCTGAAAAACACTCAAGGAAAATGCAGAGCTGGAAAACACAAACCAGAAACTGAAACTCCAGATCGATTTCACCTCCAGACGACTTGCCAGCTTTTACAAATGACACTGCCTTTTGGCTACACCACTACTCTGGCAAACATAAAATTTGGAATAGGCTAGTTCCAGTGTGGAACATATCTAACAGAGGTTTTATTACTTGGGAGGTTTCATTACTTAAGAATTTAAAACGCCTCAAAGTAAGGAAATTATGCACAGGATGAGATCTGCAAAAAGCATCTCAAAAACAGATTTAAAGGGGCACCTGGGTGGCTCAGGTGGTAAAGCATCCGACTTCAGGTCATGATCTCACAGTTTGTAAGTTTGAGCCCCGCGTCAGGCTCAGTGCCGCAACAGCTCAGAGCCTGGAGCCTGCTTGGGATTCTGTGTCTCCCTCGCTCTCTGCCCCTCCTCCACTCGTGCTCTGTCTCTCTGTGTCTCTCAAAAATAAACATTTTTTAAAAAATTAAATAAAACAGATTTAAAGAGAAGCAGCAGGGCACTAAAAACTCCCAAGGAGAGCAGAGTCTTTCTCCTATCTCCGTGAAACACTACTGCTTAAGGAGGGGTACTATGTGTCATATAAAGGTCAGCTAAGAAACTTGCTATAAGGTTAACAGCGTTGATATTTCCTACTAACAGGTACTGCCATTTATCCCTGAAGCATTTAACTTGTGCTGCATCTGCAATGTAATGTGCCTATAAGACACCCTGTTGCAATTACTTCTGAAACATTTAATCTAAAATATATCATTTTTTAATGTTTATTTTTGAGAGAGAGAGACAGAGAGAGACCGAGCCTGAGTGGGGGAGGGGCAGAGAGAGAGGGAGACAGAATCTGAAGCAGGCACCAGGCTGTGAACTGTCAGCCCAGAGTCCAATGCGGGGCTTGAGCTTACAAACCACGAGATCATGACCTGAGCCGAAGTTGGACGCTTAACCGACTGAGTCACCCAGGTGCCCCGCTTTTTTGTTTTGTTTTGTTTTGATGTTTAAAATATATCAGCTTTAAACTAGGTTATAATTCAATCCTCCTTTAAGCATCTGTAACCAATCTGAGCAGCAGTAAACCATAAGAAGGCAGTTTGCTTTTGTATGTACATGGGCCAATCTGCTGCTTACTCTTCCTCAAAAGCAAAACCAAGGTCAACCCAGAGGAAGGTCTGAAAGCAATAGCTCTCTGTTACTATACATCTTCGGGTCTGATACTTATGTGACAGTGGCTTACAGGCCAAATTTTTAAAGAATAAGAAAAGGGATTATCCAAGCACTTCCAACACCTCTAACTTAGGGTTTCCAGCGTTGCCGTGCCTGTAAGTAGAAGAGGAAGGCAATGAGGTTCAGTGCCTGGTGCCAAGCCCAGGCAACATCCTGCTCTTTCAACAGCGATGGGGCAGTGCCGGTAAAAGCAGGAAAAAAAAATTTTTTTAAGGTCTAGCAATAGCAGAACGTGGCCCCAGACCTGGCCAAGTACCAAAGTCAACACAAATTCTAAAAGTTCAGAACATCATTCCACAGAACAATTCTATGCAACCCAAATATGTAACTATGCCACTCTGAAATGTCACTGATTTTCTTTCACACAGGAGGGAGAGGTCAGCAGCAGAGGCAGCAACAAATCTTAAGAACTGATTTTGCATCCTAAACAAAGTCTGAATCACTCTCCCCAAAGCAGAAGAAACTTTTTCTCATGATTTCATCACAAAATGTTGTAACATCTAGAGGAGAATGGACACAGAAAATTACCTTAGTGGTACATTAGAAAAGTAGAAATCAAGTCCAGGTTGAGAAACAGTTCTTTCAGCCAAAATTAGCTGCTTCAAAAGGAATCGCTTGCGTATGGCTGACAGATGGTAACTAGACATTGTGGTGATCATTTTGCAGTGTATACAAATGTCAAATCACTATGTTGTACACCTGAAACTAACACAATATTGTGTGCAACTCTAAAAATAACAAAATAAAGGATACATCTTTGATTACCTACTCAATGAAACAATAATCACACCTTTGAAAAAAGACAAGACTTTTGTCTCAATTGTGCAGATTTCCACTGGAGACTGTGGTATCACCAAAATAAACACAGCAGGGCTTCTCAATATACTCTTAGCTTAAAGAACCCTATAGGCTACAACTTGTTTTTAAAATATGTCTTTAGAGGGAGCGCCTGGGTGATTCAGTCGGTTAAGCATCCAACTTCGGCTCAGGTCATGATCTCACGGTTCGTGGGTTCAAGCCCCACATCCAGCTCTGTGCTGACAGCTCAGAGCCTGGAGCCTGCTTCAGATTCTGTGTCTCCCCCTCTCTTTGCCCCTGCCCTGCTCACACTCTCTGTCTCTCAAAAAATGAATAAACGTTAAAATATATATATTAAAATATGTCTTTAGGGGCGTCTGGGTGTCTCAGTTGGTTAAGCATCTGACTTTGGCTCAGATCATGACCTCACAGTTCATGGGTTTCAGCCCCAGGTCAGGCTCTCTGCTGACAGCTCAGAGCCTGGAGCCTGCTTCGGATTGCATGTCTCCCTCTCTCTCTGCCCCTCCCCTGCTTGCTCGCTCTCTGTCTCCCAACAATAAATGTTCATTTAAAAAATTTAAAAAATAAAATAAAATAAAATATGTCTTTGCAGCACCAACTGAAGTTGAGATCCCTGGTTTTCAAACCTTAAGGTACACTCTGGGTATAGATCATATATTCACTGCCTCCTCCCACTCCTTTGGCAATGTCCGAGTATAGCAGCCACCTCCTCTTTCCTGCCTGCGGTGCCCTAAGTGACAGGTCCCTTCACTCAAAGGCGGGGAGGCAGATGGCCAATCTTCCCCAGTTGAGGACAACTAGAAACAAGATTGTACATAAGCACTTTCACCCTAAGAGGTTTAAAAAACTGCCATCTTCAGGGTTAGGGGCTTGTTGAGAAAAAGATCAGCTGTCTGAAAGTTGTGTTAGTGTTAGGACAGCTCTCCCATTTCACCAAATGTTATCATTCAAGCATAGGCCAATCACTCTACACAAACATTTCATGTAACCAAAGAACAAGGACATAAATGCAGGCTACCATAGAGATGAGAAAGGGAGTGGGTGACTATCTGGGCACTGGTATGTCTTTTTCCAAGGGCCAGGGTGCCATGGTTATGGCAGTCTCCAGGGTGAGCCCAATGCTTATGGTTATGGCAGTCTCTAGGGTGAGCTCACTGAGCTAGGATTCAAGACAGCCAGCAGGGCTGTGTCATTTTCAGCCCACTGAAAAATCTGTATTCCTGGGGTCAAGAATCATCCCTCATTCACTTCTACCCACCCAGTCCCCAAAGAAATGCTGTGAAAGTGAGGTGGGGGAATTCTATTTCAAAACAGAAATTAAAAAAACGAGGCAGAGGTTTCATGAAGATTTCCATTTTGCAGCTGTCTCTTCTAAAACTACCTTAAAGGAAGGCGCCTGGGTGGCTCAGTTGGTTAAGTGTCTGACTCCTGATTTCAGCTCAAGTCATGATCTCACGATTCTGGAGTTCGAGCCCCGCATTGTCAGGCTCCACGCTGTTAGTCTTGGGTGTGTGTCTCTCTCTCTCTCTCCCTCCCTCCCTCTCTCAAAACAAACTTAAAAATAAAACTCCTTTAAGGGATACCACTTGTAAAGAATAAATTATTTGGGGGATATTTCCTAAAGAAAGCTACTGCCCTGCAAACATTTTAATACTCAACAATCTCTTGGTGGTCAAGAGAATATTAAAATTATTTAATTTATATACGTATATAAATACGTATATAAATTAAAAATCTGCTTCCACATAAAAATCCCGGGCTCTATACTTGGCACTAAAAACAAACTCTAGGAATACAAAAATTTCTGGGGGAAAATTTAGAGCTGTACAACATCCTTATGAGTTCAATCATTTTTCTTAAAAATGTGTAACGTAACTGTATTTGAATGGATATGCCAATGCTTACACTTCTATTTGGGGAAATAAACACCACATAGCTTCCCATCTGCGGCTTGCTATAATTCACCAACAGTGAGCCTGAACCCTGCACCTTTTCTAATTTCCATAAAACTACTTGCTTCACAGAAATTCTAATGGACTCCTGGTAAGGAACTGCCTGGGCACCAAGGGAATCCCAAATATTTTCCCAAAGACTTTAAAATATCTTAGACCAACCCTGCAATTGACCAAATGCTGAAGGTTTCTGTGGCTCCAGGTATGAGAATACTGATTTCCCTGGTCTGCTTTTCTCTTTTCTGCTCTACTTGTCTGAAACACATTCAGCTAGTTCTGCCCAGTTTGACCCCTTGGTCCAGTTGTGATTTTTCAACTCTTCTTTTAAGCTACTTCTTAACTTAGTTATCTTCAGTGGTCATGTGGAACATAGAATCTTTTACTTGGAATCACCCCATGAGATATTGGTGAGGGTCCTGTCTTCTCTTCTGTGTTCAAAGCCACAACTGAATTTTAAGCCCGTTGACCAAGTTGCTGTTTCCTGTGTGAGGGAAGTTTGCAGTTTTCAGTTCATTTGAGAAGCAGAAACAACTAACATATTCTGGGCATAGTGATGATCACCATCTCAACAGTAAGAGCTCTGCTCGTTTCTCCAGATTTTCTTTTATGACTCATCACTCAGGTACCCCAAGGGGAGTGGTCCTTCAAAACTCTGTCATTACTTTTTTATAGCATTAAAATACGTTAACCACATATTAAAGGTAATAAACAGAATACCTAAAACAGTAATGTTTCCAACACCCTCTGTAATAGCCGAATCTTGCAAGCTCCCCTCTCGTTAATCAAGTAATAAAGAATGTCTATCCTGACTCTTGTGTAAAATCTGCTACCCTGACAACCCCGATGACAGAAAAAATCCTGGTAATGCAAAATCAGTTTCCAAAAAGCCAAGATGCGCAGCTTTCGAGAACAGTGACGCTGTTCCGATCGCCATAACAAAAACACAAGCAGGTACGCTGTTGGTCTTGACATTCATGCTATTGTCTATGGAGTAGACTCTTCTTCTGGTACTCTACTGCATTCATTAAAAATGGCTAAAGTTATCAAAAAGTATTCAGTGTAATGTAAACTAAGGTATTTCCACCTCTAAATCCACAGCACAAACCCGGAAGAGGTTATAAAGGAACCTTCGATGGATGTGCTTAATTTTTTTTTCAACGTTTTTTATTTATTTTTGGGACAGAGAGAGACAGAACATGAACAGGGGAGGGGCAGAGAGAGAGAGGGAGACACAGAATCGGAAACAGGCTCCAGGCTCTGAGCCATCAGCCCAGAGCCCGACGCGGGGCTCGAACTCCCGGACCACGAGATCGTGACCTGGCTGAAGTCGGACGCTCAACCGACTGCGCCACCCAGGCGCCCCTGGATGTGCTTAATAAGTGCTTCAGGAGGACATGAGAGAGAATGCATGACATACTTGACCAAATCAAACTTGATCCTCCAACACGGTTCTCATAATATTCAATTTTATATACCACAGACTGAGATGCCACAGAGATTCATGCTGCTACAGATAACCTAGGCTTTCTTCACCTTTATAGGTTGTAAAAGAATACAAGTGTGCCCACACCTTTGCCAAAAATTAGAGCAGCTGGGTGTTCTATGAGTCAAAGCAACTGTTCAAGCTCAATTTTAAAATCCTTATTAAAACCAAACTCCACCGAAGACAGATTGCTAATGACATTTTGATATATCACACACTTACACATCATTACTAGTAACTACAATTTAAAGAACCTGTTCATGGTTAAATTCAAAACAGAACTGAACTGGTTCAACATCGAGAATTTAAGTGTTTTTTAATGTTTATTTATTTTTGAGAGAGAGAGAGAGAAAGACAGAGCGTAAGTGGGAGAGGGGCAGAGGGAGGGAGACACAGAATCCGAGGCAGGCTACAGGCTCCAAGCTGTCAGCACATAGCCTGATGCAGGGCTCGAACTCATGAACAGTGAGATCATGACCTGAGCCAAAGTTAGACGCTTAACTGATTGAGCCACCCAGGTGCCCCAACATTGAGAGTTTTAAAATTCCTTGGTTAGGGGCGCCTGGGTGGCGCAGTCGGTTTAGCGTCCGACTTCAGCCAGGTCACGATCTCGCGGTCCGGGAGTTCGAGCCCCGCGTCGGGCTCTGGGCTGATGGCTCGGAGCCTGGAGCCTGTTTCCGATTCTGTGTCTCCCTCTCTCTGCCCCTCCCCCGTTCATGCTCTGTCTCTCTCTGTCCCAAAAATAAATAAACGTTGAAAAAAAAATTAAAAAAAAAATTAAAATAAAATTCCTTGGTTATTTGTGCTTTTTTTAAATTTTTTTAATGTTTATTTTTAAGAGAGAGAGAGAGAGCGCGCGCGCGAGCGCGCGCAAGTGGGGGAGGGGCATAGAGAGGGGGAGACACAGAATCCGATGCAGGCTCCAGGCTCTGACCTGTCAGCACAGAGCCTGACACAGGGCTCAAACCCACGAACTGTGAGATCATGACCTGAGCCAAAGTTAGACGCTTAACTGATTGAGCCACCCAGGTGCCCCAACATTGAGAATTTTAAAATTCCTTGGTTATTTGTTTTTTTAAAAAATTTTTAATGTTTATTTTTAAGAGAGAGGGACAGAGTGTGACCAGGGGAGAGGCATAGAGGGAGACACAGAATCCAAAGTAGTCTCCAGATTCTGAGCTATCAGCACAGAGCCTGACGCAGGGCTCAAACTCAAAAACTGAGATCATGACCTGAGCTGAAGTTGGACACTTAACTGACTGAGCCACCCAGGTGCCCCTTGGTTATTTGTTTTTAATTTTTTTAATGTTTATTTATTTTTGAGAGAGAAAGAGAGAGGGAGACAGAGAGTGAGTGGGGGAGGGGCAGAGAGAGGGAGACACAGAATCTGAAGCAGGCTACAGGCTCTGAGCTTCCAGCATAGAACCTGACGCGGGGCTCAAACCCACAAACCATGAGATCATGACCTAAGCCAAAGTTGAACGCTTCACCGATTGAGCCACCCAGGCGCTCTAAAATTCCTTGGTTATTTACTTTTGGTGACCACGGATTTTTTTTTTTTTTTTGGTAAGATTATAGTTTGCCCTAGAAACCAGTTATTTTAACTGGAACACTATTTACATGGCAGTGTTTTTCTTTTCCCAACAAAATGTCTTTTTCACTTATTCGTAACTACCAATCATGAAAGATGCTCACAGAATAATGCCAAGTTGAAGAAAGCAAATTACAGATTGGTATATACAGCAAGAACCCATTCTTGTATAAAGACATGGTTGCACATGACCATACACATGTGCATGTGTGTGTGCAAGTGCCCATACATGTGTGTACACAGTTTTGTGTGCACAAGCATATATACCCAAAAGTTGATAATAGATCTCTCTCTGGGTATGGAATTACAGTGATTTTATTCTTTATACTTACACGTTCAGTGCAGAAAGTTAGAAAATACAAATAGTACTTTAACAAAGAAAGAAGTTACCCTAAAAAAAAACAAAAACAAAAAACAAAAACAAAAACAAAAAAAAACCTCTGTGCTCACTAAACACAGGGCACTACATTTCTAGTACAGTGTCATCGTATAATGCATAATAACGGGATCATAAGTATCCTCCAGTGTGTAAATGTTCCATACTATTATCTGTATAATTACTATCAAAATAGTAATCACAAAGTTAGAAATTCACTAGAGAATTGTACAGGGTGAAAAATAAACATATCCCTTATACTGCCTTTCGTTAGCAACACTGCCTTTTCCCCCAGAGGTAACTACTCATGGTATGTATCAATCAGACCTTTTTGTATTATCCATACACATAAGGAAGGTTCTGTTTGCTTTTAGAAAAATGGAATCACGGTATATGAAGGGTGCAGACTCCCTCCTTCCCCTCCCTCCTTTAACAACGTACTTTGGAACTCCTGTGTCAGTTTACATAGGTTTGAAGGAGTTTCTTTCCTTCAAACACCCTATGGTATTCCATAGAACAGCACATTATTTAAATCATTCCTCTATTGACGGATATTCAGGTTGCTGTTAAGTTTTCACTATTATGACCAGTTTCAGTGAAACCTTATACATATCTAGTTTCCTAACAGTATTGCTGCATCAAAATATACCGTACATTTTTTTTTTAATTTTTTTTTCAACATTTATTTATTTTTGGGACAGAGAGAGACAGAGCATGAACGGGGGAGGGGCAGAGAGAGAGGGAGACACAGAATCGGAAACAGGCTCCAGGCTCCGAGCCATCAGCCCAGAGCCTGATGCGGGGCGCGAACTCACGGACCGCGAGATCGTGACCTGGCTGAAGTCGGACGCTTAACCGACTGCGCCACCCAGGCGCCCCTATACCGTACATTTTTTAAAAAATATATGTACATTTTAAAATGAGAGGATTTGGGTATTTTTTTATCAAGAAGCCATACAATTTGTACTCTAAGTAACAGTGTATGACAGTGCCCATGTCTTTGCTAAAAGTGGATATTATATTTAGTTTTGCCAATGTATTTGGTGAAAAGTGGTTTTCATTTCCTTAATTACTAGAGGGAATTTGAGCATCCTTTTTCTTATTCATCATTTTTATTTCTTTTTCTCAGAAATGCCAATTCATAACCCTCTGCTACTTTCTCTAATGTGTGCCTTTTTCTTATTGACTTGTAGGAGCTTTTTATATATAATGGATATTACATTGTAAAAGTCTTTTTCATAATAGGTGAAAGATTTATGT